AACTGACTAGTTTTGTATTTTTTTCAAACCTTATTCTCTTACATTTTAACTATATTGTATTCCCTATTAATAGTACTTCAATTTTTATTCATATTCTCAATAATCTTATTGAAAATACTACCTGTAATTACAAAGACATTTGGTTAATCTTACAAGATATGAGCAAAGCATATGATTCTGTAAACTTTGTTCTTTTTAAACATTCTCTCTCTCATCTCTCACTTCCTTCATTCATTATTAACATTCTTACTGATCTTCTTACTAACTGTTACAACCAAGTTATTACCAATCTTGGTCTTACTTTCTCTTATCCAGTTCACAATAGTATTGACTAAAGTGAAACAATTACATCTTTATTATAGTGAATTTATTAAGATCCACTTATTTTATACATATACTCAAAAGTTTCTGGATATACTCTACAATCTATTTAGACTACCAATCTAAAACTTCAAACAACTAATTCATTACAAAAACAATTTTCTGTTCTAGCATATATAGATGATACTTTTTGGGTTACTTTTTCATAAACTGAGTTATTTCATATATTATCTATAGCTGAATCTTTTATGTTATGACAAACATTTAAGTTAATTTCTCAAAATCCATTCTGATTACCAACAACCCTCCATTCTACTATACTTCTATCTCTTATAATAATCATCTACTTTCACTTCATTTTTTTAAACAACCTTTTAAATTTTTAGAATACTGGTTTACTTTAGATAATAGGTAATCTAAACAAACAAAATTAATTATCTTTGAATTCTTTCAACTTATTCAAATTACAAAAACAAAATATATAACTGATTCACATACCTGCTATATTATTAATACAGTTATTATCCCTACTATTGAATACTACTTACATAATATTGTTATTAACCAATCTACTTACAACAAAATTTTCACTCAACACATTGGTCTTGTTAAGCTTAAAGCCAAACTTTGCTATACAATACCATCTAGTACCCTATTACATCCTCAAATCTACAATATTAAATATATCTGAGATATTTAACTATAACACCATATTCCTAATCTTCTCAAATGACTTAACAATTTTGACCTACTAAGCATATCTACTTGTATACATATTCAACAACTCCAAAACAATCTCTGGTCTTTTACTAATATTTTTCTTCATCCTAAACTAACCTTTGATAGACCTAATCAATTAACTACAAACTTCAAAATAATACAACTTATCAAACATATAGGCTGAACTTTCTTAACTAGCCCAATCTACATTCTAAATAATAAAACTATTTCTTGAATCTTCTCTTTCTTCTCATTCAAAATACCTTATTTTCAAAAAACAATTCAGATATCATAAACTTCTTTTTCTGGATCAACTTACTACTTATAACAACTCATATCTTTTGTACTAGTAACATATTTCATCTAGACTTAACAAAATTTCAAAAGGTATTATATTACAATAGTTTACTACTTTTGAGAATATTACTACAAGTCACTCTTATCAATACACTTTATATAATTATTATAATTTACTTTCTATAAATTACTTTTGCTACTATACTGGTCACTTTATTTCCAATACTAAATCTTGATTACTTACTGTTCTTAATAATCAAATAATTATTAGCAAGGTCAGAAGACATAATACACACACTGGCCTTATTCTTATCAACTATTGGCATTGCTCATTCCAGTCTCAGTTCTCTAATCTTTATTCTACTTCTTTTTTAACTACTACATTATGTACTAGATGTCATCTTAATTCAAATATAATTGCTAACAAATATACCATTTTCATTCCTACTAACTTGGCTACTAAACTGCTTTGTCATATCAATTTTGACAAAACTATCAACCTTTATACAAATTTTCTTAATATTATATACTCTGTTGCTCTTCGATATCTTTTACATATTTTATCTCCTCCTTCACTTACATTAATCTACAACAACTACCTCCTAATTTTGAAACATGCCAACTTGTTAATAATCTTTAAACTATCTTTAACTCAAATCAGAATCTATCATCTATTTCATTTTACACTGATAGTTCTGTTATTGATCTTGGTATCTCATAATGCTCTATGGGCATAGGTTGGTTTCAAGTTGATAACTCTACAACTATTAATTCATTTTAGTCACAAGTTAAACTGTGGCCATGCTTTTTCAAAGCTGAAATTCTTGTTATTCTTTTAGTAATTTTTACTGCTTCTAGATATTGCTCTGTTTACATATTCACTAACTTATAATCAGTAATCTCTAAATATCATAATATCTGTCAATTAGCATCTATTCTTTTCCATACTCATATTCCATATTTTTTTCATTTGGCAAACACTTATTAATTTTATCAAGTCTTATGAAATTTAACTTATTTTTTATAAAGTTACTACACACCAAGATGATTCATTTAACAACCTTGCTAAGCAACTTACTAATAATCACCAAATATTACCTTACCTAACATTTTTAACTAATAATCCTTATAACCTCAACTATACTCCTTTTATTGATGAATTTCCTATTAAAATTCCTATCTGACACTCTATTCAAACTATATGCCAAGCCTATATTATAAGACTTTGAACATCTCAATACTGTTTTTAATAATGGTCTAGCATTGTATCTGACATTAACTAGAAAGCTACATAGCTTTATATTAACAATAATCAAAAAATTTCTAACTTGCTCACAGTTTTTACTTATCTACTCTGAAACCTTTTTGAGTTAAAATTCTTATAAATAAAGTTTCTGTTCTTCATACTCTTCATAAACATAACTCTTTATTTTCTTTCTTCTGTCATCAATGCAACTAAACCAATTTTTTATTCTATTGGGTTATCTGTCTATTAACCCAAACAATTTATCACTTAATCTCTAATTCTCTTAATAGTATTTTAAATACAACTAATCTTGATATGTCTACTAATCTTGTTTCTGATTTACATACTAAAATCCTTATACTTAACAGTTTCAAACTGCATAACTCTTCATATATATTTTCTCTTATTTCTATTCTATCTGGTTTAGTTCTTATTGATCTTATTTCTACTATCCACAATGCTTCTATCTCTTACTGTACTGCTATTACTCTTTCTATCAAATTTCTTCTTCACTTAAACCACCAAATATAAAAACAAATATGAATTCCATATTATATTTCATGTTTTGTACAGTTCTAAACTATACTCACTACTAATTCAATTCATAGTCATTCTTCTAGTCTACTCTCACCTTCTATTTCAATATCACAAATTATTACTAAAATTGATCTTTCGATTATCCAATGGATTAAATACCATACACCTTTCTCTTATATTATTACTCAAACCCAAATCTAGGTGAGCCTTGGTCACTCTTGTAAGTTTAGGTCATAGATTATATGTCTAAGTCTTTATTCTTTATATGTAATTTAAAAGCAAGCTTTTTTTTGTAAAAACTTCAATTGAATTTCAATAAAGTTAAAAGCATGACCTTACTATTAATATTTAAAAAAAAACTCCAATTCTTTAAATGACCTACAATATAAATTATCTTCAAATACTAAATCTGAAAAACAATGAAGTAATTTAAAATCTTTTAATAAACAATGAGAAGGATAACAAATAGTACAAGATAGTTCATCTTATTTTAATTAAAAAGAAGTAATGTTTTCTGTACAACAATGTAAAAAAATTCTTGTAGATGTAACTTTAAATAATCATATATTATTATTTTATTTTTATTATATACATAGTAATTTATTTAATCTTTACTTACTCTTTGTTTTATATTTACTACTATATAGTCTTTATAAGTAATGTTATTATCTACAATTAAAGGTGTTTTCAAAAAACTCTTTATTTTTATTTCTAATTAAGCACCAAATGTTTTAAATAATTTATCCTTTAGAGACTTATAGTTGAACACATCACCAACTAAGTGAATTAATGCTTTAAGACTTAATAAAATTGTTCTTCAAATTAGGATGTTCCTTAGCAATTTTACAGATTTTGTTTATTGTATTAGCTATGCTAATTAATTTTTTTGACTGATCATCTATCTTAATTTGCATTAAGAATAAAATGTATATAGATTATTTTTTATATAACCTAGATAATATAATAAATTTTTATATAGTAATTTAAAATGTAATATTAATAAAACTTTTTTATTATTAATTACATATGCTATACACACTATACAACTATACGTACTATACGCGAAAAAAATTCGGATATCATATAAATGACACATCTGCAAATATGACGATTAAGCAGAACAGCATAACGACCAGTCAGAAGTCACTCACTATACATCACTGAAACTTCCAATCCAGTTATAAAAAATTCAACGACATGACCTTCAGTCACATAGTTTAATTGAGCCTGAGTGCAATTAGTTACACTCAAATATCCATACAATAACTATAAATTATTGTTTTCTAAGTGTATATTGTTAAAATTTGTCTCAAGAACTTGCATTTATGAAGGTTTCACTATATTCGAATCTATAAATTACTTACATAATTTTTAAATTTAGTTGAAAATTTCTATTTGTACATGTGTGTATGTCGCATCTGAAGTAGCGATTTATCTAAAGTAGCGTCTGGCTAGATAAATCGCTACTTCAGATGCGACATGTATACCCGAATATTGTTATTTCTCAAAATTTTTATTGATAAAGCTACCTTTTAGGTTCTAACAAAAAAGATTCCTTGCAAATTTTAGTATAAACTATGCCTTTCTCTAAGCTTTAAAACAAAATATAAATATTGTTAAAATTTTTTAATAAAAATCATGTGTGCAAATAATTCATTAATACCGCGTACATACACTAGGTGTAAATTAAAAAATTTCTTTAGTTAAAATAAATTAACGTTGTTAAAGAAATTATATTCAAATTTTGGCCAATATTTTATTCTGAAGATATGTTGTAAATTTAGAAATCAAAAACATGATTGAGAAAGCCTTGTTTAAAAAAAAATAATATCCATATCTCTTGATATGTTTCATGTTCCTAGTTATAATAAAAATAAAATCAGATTTGATCAACTATGACAAAACTCTCTGAATCAGTTTCGGATTTATTAGATTCTGAAGAATCTCCATTTTTATCGGTTGCGTGAGAATCTCCAGCCTTGGAAGAGACATTGTCAATTTGATCCGTCTTGAAAAAACCGTCAGTATCATTAGCTTTTGGCGTGACATCATGCTTATCGATTTTGAAAGATTCATTTAATATGTCTGTTTTGGAAGAGTCATCAGCCTTATTTGTATTAGAAGAATCATTGGTCTTGTCAGAATCATCAGCTTTGTCGGTTTCGATGGAATCACCAGACTCATGAATTTCGGAGGAAGAATAGTCAGATTTATTTGGATTAGAAAAATCATTAGCTTTGGCGGGTTTGGGATAATCATCAGCCTTATGAGTTTTAGAAGAAGAATCATCATCCTTGTGAGTTTTAGAGAAAGAATTATCAGCCTCATGAGTTTTAGAGGAAGAAGAAGAATCATTAGTTTGTGGCGAATGATCAGTCTCAGGAGTTTTAGAAGAATCATCGGTCTCATGAGAATTGTCAGTTTTATTTGTATTAGAAGAATCATCAGTCTCAGGAGTTTTAGAAGAACCATCAGTCTCAGGAGTTTTAGAAGAACCATCAATCTCAGGAATTTTAGAAAAATCATCAGTCTCAGAAGTTTTAGATGAATCATCAGTCTCTTGAGCTTTAAAGGAAGAATCATCAGTTTTGTCAGCTTTGGAAGAATTGTCATTTTTGGACGAATCATTGGTCTTATCAATCATGAAAGAAACCATTTTATCAGTTTTAGAAGAATCGTTAATCTTGTTTGTTTTGGAAGAAACTTCAGTTTCTGAAGAATTATTAGTTGCAGGGGAAGAATCATTATTTTTATTAATTTCTGAAGAATTATTGGATCTTCTGGTTTTGAAAGAATCATCTGCCTTATTAGCTTGGTCAGTTTTGAAGGAATCTTTAGTTTTAGAAAAAATATCATCAATCTTGTCAGTTTTAAGAGAATCATCGATTTTAGAAAGATCAATTTTGAATGAATCTGATTCAGGAGTAGTGGAAAATTTGACTTTAGATGGTTCAATACTAGTACCTTCTGTTTTAGAGAAACTTTCATTAATAACAGTATTTTCGTTAGCCTCAGTAGGTACCGTGGAATAGTTAGTATTAATAGCAGTATTTTCATTAGTCTCAATCAGTGCCATGGAATAATTATTATTAATAGCAGTATTTTTGTTAGTCTCAGTAGGAGCTGTGGAATAATTAGTCTTTGCATAACCTTCTTCGTAATAAATAGATTGAAATTGTTGGGGATCTTGCTGTTCATAACTGTGATCTTTACCCCTGAGTTTTTGTTCTCCTCTGGTAATTACACCAGCAACTTTAGCGGTGATAGTTTCTACAAAACTTTTTTTTTTAGGCTCTATTCGCGTAAAAACCTTAGCATGAGTGAATATTTTACGCTTTAAATCATCATTTAAATCTCTTCCAATTAATGGAAAAGAACAAATGTCGACAATAGCTTCTTCTATTTCGTCATCATCACACAGGACTTTCATATATTTCTTGGTTATTCCTTCGCCATATGGAAAACAATGAAAATGGACAACTGGCTCCTGAACTTTGAAACGGAAAAAGAATATCCTAATAACTTCAGTAATTAGTTCGATAGCTTTTTCTCCAATTGATGAACTTTTTTTGGGGTCTTTGAATGAACGGTATCGATTTATAGAATCGTTAAGTTTTTCTTGACATTGTATAATAAAAGGATGCAAACCATGTTCAGGTATGTCAGCGAACCCACGATAACCAAGTACGGCATAAATTTGTTGACGCAATTTTATTGGTGCTGCTTGGGTTACATGATCTGATCCCACACGTTCATTTGATAACTTTTTAATGGACTCGATCAAGTCATTTGTTTTATTGAAAATCTTAGATTCAAGTAAATATGGATAATCAGCCACTGTATTAAAATAATCATCCGCAAATGATATAATTTTCATTAAAACGTGGCGTTGCAGGACTGCTTTAATTAAAGGTTTATTTGGAGTCTGTGGATCGATCCGTGTTTTGGAACTATATATTTCTAAAAGTTTGTTTATTCTATTAAAATCAATAATAACACCACCTTTTAAATTGCCAACGTAATCCTCAACTAAGTCTTGTAAGTTTTCGATATCAGCATTAAGTTGTGTAGTGCTATTTTTATCATCGTCATTTAAACGAAAAGTAGTAGCGCTACCAAGTGCTACTTGCAATTTAGATGCTTCATCCCTTAATTCTTTAATTTTTCGATCCTTTTGCTCAATCAGATTGTTTGAATTAACTAAATTAATATAATTATGATCTCTCTCTTTTTGAAGTTGTGAGATCGTTTGCTCAGATTTACTGATTTGTTGCACTAAGGAAACTTTCTCTTTTTCATATTCTCTTATATCGTGTTCAAGAACTTCTTTGTTTTCTTGATATCTTTTTATATAATCATTACGACTAGATATGTCTTTTTCTAGAACCTTTTTGTCATTTTCGAGTCTTCTATTACGCTCCATAAGTCCCTCAAATGCCTGACTTCTAATCTTTAAATCATTTTCTCGCTTCGATAGTTCTTCGTTTAACCCATGGTTAATTTCCATAAGTTCTTTATTTTTATCATTTAAATCTGAAATATACTTTGATAAACTTTCTTGTTCCGCAATTTCCTGCTTACGAATATTTAACTCATTCTCTCGCTTCGATAGTTCTTCGTTTAACCCATGGTTAATTTCCATAAGTTCTTTATTTTTATCATTTAAATCTGAAATATACTTTGATAAACTTTCTTGTTCCGCAATTTCCTGCTTACGAATATTTAACTCATTTTCTCGTTTCGATAGTTTTTCGTTTAGTCCATGATTGACTTTCTCAAATTCTTTTTTTTGATTATTTAAGGTTATGATAAGATCTAAGATATTATTCAGTAGCGTATTTTTGTCCGGTAATTCTTCTTTTAACTTGTTTAAGGACGATTCTATTGATTCAATTTCTACGGAATCCACATCCATTTGATCGCTATGATCAACATCAGTGGTCATCTTAGATAAGCGTTTTCTTAAAAATTTTTAAGTTTAAAATAAAGAATTGAAATTTTTTTTAGTTATTTATACTTTATATAAGAGTTAATATAACAAAGTTATTAATGTACACTAAATTACATGTGAAACAAGCCCTCTATTTAATAGATTAACGGATATATTCGTTTTTTGTCCGGATTACCTTTTAAAGCCTTTAGTACAATGATAACATGCATTCGTGATTATGTTTTATAAGAAATAAGAAACAAAGACATTACAAAAAAAGAAACAAAGGAATTTAGGAATTCAAATAGCTAGATCTCGTTGTTCAATTTATATTAAATGTTTTTTTTTATTTAATGGTTTTTGCTCTTAAAATTTTTTTTATCAACTTTGAAATATCTCTTTTAAAATGACTGAACCTGATATTCGTGTGGTTGCAGCTATTGGTAATTTGAAAGATGAGAAATGCTCAAATTTATAACGTTTAAACTATAACTATTATTTTTAATTGATTAATATATACTTGTTTTATTTATCCTTCTCATTTTGCAGATTTCGGTACGACATATTCTGTAAGTCAATTGATCTATTAAATTTAATTTTGGAATTTTAAAACTTTATTTAATATATATTTTGAAATACAGGGCTATGCGTACGCTCATAAAGCGAACCCTAATGAAATCTTTGCTAACACTGACTGGCAAGAGTATGAAGGAAGATTCAAAACTCCAACAGTTTTAAAATACAATGATAATTGGAAACTTGAAAGCTGGGGCGCTCCAGCTTTAACTGAAAGACCAAAAAGGAGAGGAAAAAATATTAGTAAAAAACCCGTTGAATTGTTTAAGCTTCACCTAGGAAAGATGGAAAACAAACCTTCACTCCCTTCCGGCCTTGATTATAAAACCGCTATTACTGATTATTTATGTGAGATAACAAAATCTCTTAAAACAACCTTAGAATCGCGTTGGCCAATGGTTGACTTTTATAGCCAAGTTTGCATTGTCATTACTGTGCGTATACATTTAGCTACTTCACATAATTTTTGTTAAATCTTTTCTTACTTGAATTTATTTTAGATTCCTGCGGAATTCGATGCTACTGCAATAGCTACAATGCGCAATTGTGCGCATAAGGTACATTATATTATACTGTTGATTCAATATATAGACAAAATTTACTAAATTATAAGCTTTCATTAATAATTTCAAGGCTGGCTTGGTTCAACAAAAAGACACTCCTAATTTATTGTTTACAACTGAACGTATGCGATTTCACTTTTAAATCAATGCTTATTCTTCAATACGTCTCATTATTTATTTATATGTATAAATTTTTATTATCAGCTGAGGCAGCAGCTATACATTGTATGAAAGCTTTAAGAGAACATGATTTGGGTGTTGGAGGTAAGTTTATTTATTATTCCCAGTATAAAATTTTCATGAATTCAGCAAATTAATAGATGTTATATGTACTACACTAGATTCGTTTATGGTGGTCGATTGTGGTGGAGGTACTGTTGATTTAACAACCAGAAAACTTTTAGCTGGTAATAAATTAAGCGAAATAACCGAACGTGAAGGTGACTTTTGCGGTGGAAGTTTTGTAGACCAAGAATTTATCAAATTTCTTGGTAGAAAAGTTGGTTCTTCAGCAATTGATCTAGTTAGACAAAATCATTATGGACAACTTCAATACATGGTCCAAGAATTTTGTAGAAAAGTTAAGGTTCCATTTACAGGAGTCATTAAAGATTTCAAATCTGTTGAGCTTGACTTGGAGGTAATTTTAAATAACTTAAAACAATATATATATTTTTTTATTATAACATTTTATTTTTCGTATGTTAGGATATTTGCCCGATCTTGAAACAATATGTAAAAGGTCAAGCTAAAGAAGATATGGAAGATGCTGAATGGGTTGTGAACATTGAATTTGACGATGTTAAAGCGATGTTTGATCCCGTAGTCGGTAAAATAATTAGATTAATTCATGGTCAACTAAATAAAAGTGACGAAGAGTGTTCCGTAATGTTTTTAGTTGGTGGATTTAGTGAATCTAGGTATTTACAATCACGCATCAGACAGGAATTTAATGGAATTGTTAAAAATATACCAGTTCCTCCAAATCCAATTGTTGCTATTGTTAAAGGAGCTGTACAATTTGGCTTAAAACAAGATGTAATTGATGACCGAGTTCTAAAATGGACCTATGGTATGTAATATTGCATCATCAAAGTTATTTATTTGTTATTCAAATTAATTATTACGTTTATAGGAACCCGAATTGCAAGAGATTGGACTCCTGATGATCCACTAGAACGAAAGACTGGTAAACACATCATTGTTTTTGAGCGACTAGGTAAAAAAGGTGACAGAGTTGGCGTGGATCAAAAGGTTCTTCGTATTTTTGCACCTACTAGTATTATTCAGGAACATGCTTGTTTAGACCTTTACGTAACATCTAAAGATGATGCAGAATACTGTGACGAACCTGATGTCAACTTGCTCGATAATTTTAATTTTCATGTTCCGATAACTGGTGATGACATACGCCCAATTTTATATGTCATGAACTTTGGAATGGTTGAAATTCAAACCACTGCAATTAATGTTGCCACTGGTGAAAAATATGACAAAACATTTGATTTCGATATTTAAAGCGCTTCTATCTATTTTTTTATTGCCTGGGACGATTAGAAGACTAAAATTTGATTTATACTTAATAGCATACATACTATAGTCTCAAAGAAAAGTAATATTGTGTATTGGAAGATAGTAAAACTTAAAGATTGGCAAAGATATACGTGAAACATAACCTGGGTGCATCTTTAATCTTTGTAAATAAACATTTGGGTACATCAGTCTGTTGTTTTGTATTTTTAAGTAAAATCAGGTATATGATTTGACTCTCCGTTTATAATCTATTTATTTATAAAATCATATCAATAAAATTATAACTTTTTAGCATTATTTTTATAATACATATGCTGATTTAATGTCAATGATAGAATCGACACCAAAAAACGTTTCAAGTAAAACTTCGTTTTTTTACGGTGTGGGACCTGAATGGACCCTGACCAGTTGGGGTCCATTGCCAAATTCGGAAAAGGGGGTCGATCGCATCTGTCGCATCCGTTGCATGCGACCGATCAGTCGTATGTGACGCATGTGACAAATGCGACAGATAGCAGCGATCGGTCATAAGGGAAATATCAGTAGGATACGACTGATCAGTAGCATCAAAGATATCAGTCGTATCCATCGCACAATGTAAATAGAATCCTACAATTATAAATAAAGGCCAAAAGGCCCTTTGGGAAAAGGACAATTCCCGCCCTTGACAAATAAAATAATACATTCGCTAATACATAATCTGTCCCTAACCTGTAAACACTAACTTCCGTCAATATACTTACCTAATAACCAACCCGAAATCTCCTTCATTAAGAGAACCCCGTTAACCACTCGCCAAATCTAACACGCCTCTTTCGACCGATATTAACTCAAGTGGTTATACGACGTACCCGATTTTGGAGCTACCAACCTGACGACCTTTTCCTGTTCACAACGGTAGGGTTCATTATATTGGTGCCTAAAAACATTTCTTATAAAAAATTCACCCCACTCTGCTGGAATGCTGTGGATCATTCCTAAAAAAGAAATGCTTATTGTTATTTATTGGTTGTGCCTTTGCTCACGCTGCTTTATGACTAATCATGTAGCATTAACAATTTACCCCCACAGGTTTGATTTTTGGCCAATCAGAAAGCAGGATCAGGTGTAACGTGACAATCAAAACAATCGCTTTTTTTTGAAAGTCACATTTATCTCAAAAATTCTTCTAAGGAATCACCTTTTGCGTATTAACAAAAAAAACTCCTTGCAAAATTTTGGCATAATACTGAGATGTCACATTTAAAAGATACGAATCATCCCAATTAATCGAAACTGTGGGGGGAATTAGTAAATGCATAGTAAATGCTATACACCCGAATATTATCTTTTAAGTAGTCTGGTGAGAAATTTTGATGTTAAAACACGTTAATATATATCATTTGAGAAATTTAGATACGCTTTGATAACACTTACAAAATAGTCTCGTCAGTTGTTGAGCACAATTATCTTGAACGGGTAGATAATAAGATTATTTTATCTTCTTTTTAACCTATCAATGTAATTTTTTCATGTACTTATTATACTAGACATTAACTATTTAATTACTGTATTATTCTATTTAAAGCAGAAATTTGTTAAAGCATGCATGAAGATCATAGGGGATTAAAAATGTGGAAATAATTTTGCAAAATTGTTTTCTATAGGATTGATTACTGTATGCTTAGCTTTTACAGTTATGCAAGATATCATAATATGCTTTGTACATTGAGTCTGATTATTATTATTATTATTTTTTGTGCTAAGGTGAGGCCTTGCTTATATCTTTATTAGTAATTTTAGTTGTACATATTAATATATTATATACTAAGATATACTAAAATTGTAAACTACAAAATAAAAATTATATACAAAAATTAAAGTTCAGACAGTTTTATCTGTGGCCTAAACTGATTATGGTGATCAAGGCTTACCTAGATTTATAATATTAAAATATGGTTATAAGATGTACTATGATTAATCCAAAGTGTTGATCATATAATGATTTTTCTAACAGCTTGTTTAATTGATAGACAGATATTAGGACATGAATATAATTGATTTGCTATTCCACATAGACATAAGTATATATAGTTTATATGTAATCTCTTGTGATGTCTAGTTTGCTGTATTTGTTGAAGGGTATAGTTATTATTAGAACTTAAAAGAGATGTAATGTTATTATCTTTTTTCCAATTAGAAAAATAAATGTAATAAGGTTTCCATATTTGATTATAGATTTGGTTATTAATATCAAGAAGTATTTAAATAATAGTTTGTGAGACTATTTTAATAGGTATGTTATAGTTATGAATTGTTTCAATTAAGGCTTTAAGTATAAGACCTTTAAGAATAAGGTTGAGATAGAAAGAGTTTGCTTAAAATGGTATTCGATCAAATAAAAAATGGTTTTGAATTTTGTGAATAAGTTCATATAATTGACTAATAGATAAGTTGAGATCTGCTTTAGATAAAATATGCTGAATTGATGAATTAATAATGTTTATAACAAGAAATAAATTAGAACAAATTAACCAATGTAAGTGGAAGTCAGAAAGATTGCATCGAAAGCAGTTGGCATTTGAAAAGATTATTGGATAGGTATTGTGATAAGAAAAATATATTGGTAATTGATTCAGAAGAACTTTAATTTGGAAGATTTTAGATTAGTTAAGTTTAAAGCTAGTAAAATTAGATGTGGGTTTTTGATTATAATTAAGATATAATCATGTGGATTTCTAGTCTATATAGTGATTAATATAAACCCATTCATTGTTTCTTTTTTGTAAAGACCACATTGCCAGTATATGTGCTTTACAGATATTTTTAATAAAATGTCTGTTAAGAAGTTCGACAAAATTTTGTTTCTATTATAAAATATAAAAAGGATTATAAATATTTGTATATTGAAAGTTTAAGAATAGAGAAAAGGTATGTTGTTTTGCTAAAGAATAAGCTATGTTATTAAAGATATTATCTGTATGAGCTTGAACTTTGTGAAAGTTGATATTTAAATTAAAGGATTTGATAATATTAAGGAGTGTATGGCATAAGAATCATGTGTTAAATTTAAAAAGTTTGTTAAAATTATTAAATTGAATAAAAAGTTTATAAAATTTAGAGATAACAGATTGTGAATCAGTATAAATTTGAAGTGTTGCATTATGAGATACAGTTGAAATTGCTGATAAAATAGAGAAAATCTCTACCTTATAGACTGATAACCAAAAATAAATTTTAGCTGAAAATTTGTAAAGAATTTGGTTATTACTGTTGACTTGAGCCCATCTAATGTCTATTGAACTTTGTTCAGTTCCAATATCAGTTACTGATCTATCTGTATAAAAAATAAATTCCTTATATAACAGATTGTTTTGAAAGATTTCTTTAAGTTTGTTTAAGCATTCATTAGATTTAAAAATTTCAGCAATAGTTGAATTTGATATATTGATAGTAGAATAGTTATATAGAATTCATAAAAAATGTTTAATTGTTATTGAATAAATAAGGTCCAGGTAGTTAGCATTATGTTTGAGTTTAGAGGTTTTTTTTTCAGAAAACTGGTACAAATAGTTGCTGATACATTAATTGTACATATTCAATTAATTCTATTTGAGTTAAGATGGCACCTAATACATGATATACAGTTCAGATCTTGAAGAGAAGAGTAATGATTATGTTCTAAATTAATATTAGCATTCTGGTATAAGATGGAGAACTGATTTGTATTTGGGAAACATTTGTAAATTTTGCCAATAATAATCTCTTTATTATTATCAATATATGTAAGTAATCATGATTTAAGTTTTTTCTTGATTGGTAAAGTGTTATATGCAAAGGCATTAATTCCAGATGGTTAAAAATAAGGAAGAATTAGGCAGTGTAGTCTGTTAGACAAAATTGTTTCTTCAAGGTAGATAAACCAAAGAGACTGCCTTCCTTTAGTTAGATGATGAAGTCTGGATGAAAGATGATACCATTTAAGTAGAGTACTGTTATTTGTAATACATAGTTGTTCTAGATAGAGTATGTTGTTTTTTTGAAGTTTTTTTCTGAAAGTATTGTATTTGGAGTGCTGAATAAGTATTAGTTCTAATGATTGATAACCATTATAAATTGTGTTAGGTCACAGGACATTAGAATTTACTAAAATTAAAATGCCCAAGTGCTGTAAAAGTCATATAAGTTTGAAGTTAAGTATAAGTTTGTTGGGTTTATCAATAAGTGGTTGGTTGTGCTGAAAAATATTAGTAGTAGACCAAAGGTTGTTTTGGAGTTGCTATAATCTAATTTTTATAGAGATGTCAAGTGTTTTTGGGTCATTAATTCTTTGTTGAAAGCAGGATATATGATATTGTAACTGGGTGTCCCAAATATTATACAGTATATGTTGTATATGTGAAGGTTTGCATGGTGCTATTAGAACTAGTACAAGAGAGTTTGGCTTTATGTTTAATTATAGTAAAGTATTTGGATAGAATTTTGTTATAAGTAGAGTGTTTAAGAATTATATTATATAATCTGTATTTGATAATAGGAATAATTATAGTATTAGTAATATATATAGCTTGTTTGTCTGTAATTCTTTTGGTGCCTGTAATATTGATAAGTTAGATTGCTTCATCATAAATTAATTGGCTTTGTTTTATATAAGAGTTATTAAGAGTAACTAGCATCCTAGAAATTTAAATGGCTGGTTGGCAGAAGTAGGTGTAAGTGATGAATTAAAAAAATGAATAGAAGCTAATTATTATTAATATAACCTTCTATATTCAAAATTATTTTATTATATAAGTAATTAAAGAATAATTATATGTTAATTAGATATATAATTACTCAATAGTTAAGTTATATGCAATGCATGTGATAGTATTATATATAGAAAGTAATACTAAGAATAAATAAAAATATTTTACTATAAATATAATAAATAGTAATTAAATAAGCGATTTATTATTTAGTATAAGTGATAATTTTATTGTTAGCAATAGTTACAGATTAATGTT